CATCTTTAGCTGTTAACGCTCCTCACACAATAATGTGATGTACTGTAAGACCTGGCTTCTTGTTTTTATTTGCATCTAACCCTGAAAGGTCATCCTTGCTCCATAGCTACCTGTAGGGTTGGCTTAAGTCTCTGTTGTGAAAGCATCACAGTTCAACTTGTCCTGCCAGTATCTGCTTCCTCACTCTTTTAGAGATGTTGTTCCCAAGAATGTTTCCAAATAAACTTATTGTATGCAAATCTTTATCTAAAAGTCTATTTCCTGAAAATCTCAAACTAAGACAGTTGGATCCTGGAGTGATTGAGGAAGCAAATTATAAAATGGAATTTTGTAGCGGGCTGGTGATGAGGACCCTGTCATTGATCATAACTAGAATATGGATAGCTCCAAGTAGAATTGTCACGGTGCAAATGTTAAAGTTGTAACTGGGGATAAACCAGGATGAGATACCAGTGTAAGTTTATGCACTGTCAGGTGTAGTATTTCAGGATATTGAGAGGTACAGGAGAATTAGCGACTATAAGGGCTATGTAATAATATAGCAGTAGTTGATAGATTTATTAGAAAAAGACAATAAAAGGCTGAAGGTAAACAACCATCAGTTTATGGCAAAATGTGAAAACCGGAGGGGCTAACTAGCAGCATATAAAAAGATAATCGTCTCCCTCAGCAGGAGGGCAGAACAAAAAACAGTCCTAGGATTTAGTTAAAAGAATAGCAGAATGTCAAAGCAGTTTAAATTCTCAAATCCAGCAAATCTGTTATGCCACGAATAGGCGTTTTACAGGGAAAAGTGGAAACTGTAAGTTGAAATAGGGGCATGGGGATCGATGCACTGAAAAATCATGAGTCCTTAGATTCCCCAGAATACTTTGGGTCTTCCAAAGTGGCCAATTCCTCCATGTTAGTGCCCCCCCTTAATTAAAAACAATACAAAGTCTCTATTTTATTTTATTTTTCTATTTCTCTCTCTCTTTTTTTTTTTTGTGAGGAAGATCAGCCCTGAGCTAACATCCATGCTAATCCTCCTCTTTTTGCTGAGGAAGACTGGCTCTGAGCTAACATCTATTGGCAATCCTCCTCCTTTTTTTCCCCCAAAGCCCCAGTAGATAGTTGTATGTCATAGTTGCACATCCTTCTAGTTGCTGTGTGTGGGACACGGCCTCAGCATGGCTGGAGAAGCGGTGCGTCGGTGCGCGCCCAGGATCCGAACTGAGCCGCCAGTAGTGGAGCGTGTGCACTTAACCACTAAGCCACGGGGCCGGCCCCAAAGTCTCTATTTTAAAATAAAGCATGCGCTACCCCATTCCCACCTGCCCTCCTGGCTACCAGAGAAGGAACTTGGGTGAAGACACAACAGAATCTGGATGAGCAAGTGCTCAGTCCGATAAAAGCTAAAAGGGACTCTATGCTGAAGAAGCTGCAAGACCTAGCCAAGATGTTCTGGCAAGAGCTAGGGGACCATACATGAGCTTAGATCTTGAGGATGCTGGGAAGTAGTATAAAATCGAATAAGTCCTTTGATCTGGCAGCACTCTCTCAGAACACAGGATTTAACACCCTGACAAGGATTTCGGGAGATGTGCTAACATGCTGCTACGATGACTCTTGGAAACTTGGAGAAGCAATATTCCACAGTAAAATTGATAAGCCAGAAATGCATGGCAGATGGTAGAAGAAAGGATCATAAGGATCAGAAAAGTGGGAATATTATAATAAATATACGAATAAAAACCACCCACTTATTCTTTTTGTGTGTGTGTGAGGAAGATTGGCCCTGAGCTAACATCCTTTGCCAATCTTCCTCTTTTTTTGCTTGAGGATGGTTAGCCCTGAGCTGACATCTCTGCCAATCTTTCTCTATTTTGTATGTGGGCCACCTCCACAGCATGGTTGATGAGCAGAGGACATCTGTGCCCAGGATCCGAACCCAGGCCGCTGGAGCGGAGCACACAGAACTTTAACCACTCAGCCACAGGGCCAGCCCTCACTTATTCTTTTTGATGGGAGGACTAAGAAGACATTCTATTCACCAAAGTAATAAGGAATGCAATGTGGGAAAAAGAGCTAGCACGGCATATATGTTTGTTACGTCTTTTGAAATTGTCCCAGAGTTTCTGGATGTTCTATTGTTTTTTTTTAATTTTCATTTTTCTCCCTTAGCATTTCAGTTTCGGGAGTTTCTATTGACCTTGTTGATTCTGTCCTTGGCTATGTCCAGTCTACTGATGTGTACATCAAAGGCATTCTTCATGTCTGTTAAGACATTTTTTTATTTCTCTCATTTCCTTTTGAATTTTTTACTTAGAAACTGCATCTCTTTGCTTACATTACCAGTCTCTTCTTGGGTATTGTCTACTTTTTTCATCAGAGCCCTTAATATTGACCATTGTTATCTTAAAATCTCTATCTGATAATTCCAAAATCTATCATATGTGAGTCCAATTCTGATGCTTACTTTGCTTCTTCAGACTGTGGTTTTTCCTTGCCCTTTTAGCATTACTTGTAATTTTTTGTTGAAAACCAGTCATGATGTATTGGGTAATAAGAATGGAGGTGTAAAGGGAAAATGCACTCCTGTCTGTCTCCTCTACTCTCAATACTACTCTACTGCAACACCACTTCACTTCTGACACCAGATATGTGGGTTTTCCACACATCAAGAAATTCTGTGACACCAGTTGGATGCCCTACAATTTAACTCAATTCTGACATTATCTACCTGGATATAGCAACAGATCCCACAGGTTAAGGGCTCAGTTCCACAAGACTGACCCCTCTACTCCGCTACAGTTGCCAATCACAAATACAGGTTGTTACCTGTGCTTCCAACCCACCGGAAGTTCCCACAACCCCCTCCTTGGGTTTAATTAAATTTGCTACAGTGGCTCACAGAACTCAGGAAAACAATTTATTTACTAGATTACTGGGTGTATTACAAAGACATCCTTAGAGGATATGAAATAGCGGCCAGAAGAAGAGATACATAGGGAAAGTTATAAGGAAAGGAGCACACAGCTTCCATGCTCTTTCCAAGCACGCTACCCTCTCCTCATCTCCACGTCTTCACCAACCCAGAAGCTCAGTGAACCTGGTCCTTTTGGGTTTTTATAGAGGCTTCGTTGCACAGGCATGCTTGATTAATTCATTGGTCCTTGGTGATTGATTCAACATCCAGCCAGTCTCCCTCCTCTAAGGTCAGGGAGTGGCACTGAAAGTTCCAACCCTCTAATCTTGCCTGGTTTCCCAACTAGCGCTCATCCTTAGGGGCTTTCCAAAAGTCATCTAATTAACATAAAGTCAGGTGTGGTTGAAAGGGGCTTGTTATGAATAACAACACACCCATTTCATCTTTTTGGCTCTGGAACTATTGAGAAACAGATGACCAAAGACCAAATGTAACAAAAGATGCTCCCATTGCTCTTATCACCCAGGAAATGCCAAGAGTTAGGAGCTCTGTGCCAGAAATGAGAATGAAGACCAAATATATACATATTTCTTATTATAAATGGGAATATCACCAGAGGTAAATATGTATTTAGTGTGAGGTTTTATATTAATAGGAATAGGAATTCCGCTGTGTTTAATGTTTGCTGTAGCTGTGGGTGACTGAGGTTTCAATTTCCTCTAGGGTCCTTGTTTATGTCGACTGTGCGTCCTTATGTACTACTCCACTGAGAGATTTTGCCTCTTGCAGCTATTTCTGTTGTAATTCACTGTTATTATACCAGAGCCCTGCTGCTTTAGTGTTAAGGTTCGAGGAAACAGAAGCCTTCTCTAATCTTATGACTAAATGTCAGTATTTTAATGGGCCTTGGTCACTGAGATGTGAACTTCACAACTGTCTCTTAGCTTCCATCCTTCCCCTCCCCACCTTAATTGAGAAAGGAAGTCTAGATGGGGCTCGAGTATGAGAAATGCCCTTCCCCCAGGTGGGATAAGCTCTAGTAACATGTTTTTCTGGAGAGTAAGCCAGCCATGGTGGTCTAGTGGTTAAGATTCAGTCACTGTGTGACCTGGGTTTGTTTTCCAGTCAGGGAACCGCACCACCCATCTGTATGTCGGTTGTCATACTGTGGTGGCTGCACGTTGCTGTGATGTGGAAAGCTGTGCTACTGGTATTTCAGATACCTGCAGGGTTACCCATGGTGGACTGGTTTCAGCAGATCTTCCGGATTAAGAGAGACTAGGAAGAAGAAACTGGTCACCCACTTATGAAAACATTGACCATGAAAACCTTATGAATAGCAGTAAAGTACTGTCTGATATAGTGCAGGAAGGCGAGAAGATGGCGCACAAGACCAGGCAAGGGTTCTGCTCTGCTACACATAGCATCACTGGGAGTTGGACAACAAAGGCCTTTGTTATGGAGAATGCTCTGGATTTATTTCACAATGATTACTCTTCCCCTTCCCTTGTGAGAGCCAAGAGTTGATCTTTCTTAGCTCTTCACTGTGAGAACTTGGTCAGGTTCCTGGATGTAAAACCCACAAAAATAGGAGGCCCCCGAAGAGGAGCTCCAGAAGTTTCTCACTCTCATATTAGTCCATACTCAGCCTCCAGCAAGTCATCAGGATTACCATCCAATTGTTCCTACCAGTTTCTGGCTTTAGTAGCGTCCTCTCCAGGTAAGCTGAGGTGGCAATTTCTCCCTGTGGTCTCTTCTATGATGGATTAAAAAAAGTCATTGATTTTGAGTTGTTCAGCTTTTATTTGTTGTAAAGATGGGTGTGATGACTACTAAACTCTTTATGTGTTGCAGCTGAAACCAGAAGTCTTTTCATATCTCTTTAATATCCAATGCTTCGGTTAAGAGCTGAAGAGATATATTTTTTTATTTTTTCTTAATTACACTCATCTTCTTTGCGCTCATCACTGTCCTATTAGCTAACATTCCAGTATGCCACCTAAGCATAATTTTTCAGATTTAGCATTCTTCCAAAACCAAATTTTTCAAATGGAAGGTGGTAGATATTTCCTCTCCCTGGTTAGCCAGGTCACAGGTATACATTCTAGGCTTGACCAATAGGATGCTCCTGTTAGGTACATAAATTTTTAGAAGGTGATTCAAATACCCAGAAACAATAGAGAAATCACAAGGCCATCGTAGAAGGATCCAGTCTGGAAGGAAATGGAGAGTAATTAGTGGCGTCTGTGCCATATGCAGAGGCCTTACCAATTACTTTGATTTGACTACCTCTTTGTCTTCCTGCAGCCAACTTTCCCTTAGTCCCTGACTATTTTTCAAGCCTATGAATTTTTGAACTAGCCCATATCTTTCCAAAAAATTCATTCTTTTCTCAAGCTAAAGAGAGTTAGTTTTTCTTGCACACAACCATGAAAACCACCTAATGTAAGAGACCTGTATTCAAAACACTAAAATTACATATTTGTTTGCCCATTATAATAATATCTTCCTTATGGTATCATAAGTATTGTTTTTACCTTTTATTTTACTTTTATGATAGGAATAAGACAAATAAAATACCTAAAATCTAATACTTACTGAGTACTTTAAAGCACTGTGACCTAATAGAAGTTAATTTACAATTTAGGTTACTCATTATTCATGCTGTGTATAGTAAGAAAGTTTTTTAGTGCCGAAAATTTAAGTGCTGTACTGAAAGTTATAACTAGAATTAGTTATTAAAATGCATTATTAAAATATTCACTAACAGAATACATCTGTCAGTGAAATATGAACTTCTAAAATATATATTAATTTCAAGGTGAAGCTATTTCTTGTGAGATTAATTTCATATATATGCCATAGACACACAAAGATTGACTTTTCTGTATATATTCTACAAATAAAAAATACCTAATTGATAGGTTCACAGATAGTAGAAACTAATGAGGGAAGAAAACATTTTGAATAAAAATCTCTGCACTCCAGTTAAAATACATTTATATTATTAAAGTTTTAAATTAGTTTTGTTGGTTTTTCAATGTCTGTGAACAGGAATATGTATTAAACACTTAGTGATATTTAGCTTAAAATAAGGAAATGAAATGAAGTAATGTCAAAAGGCAATGGTTTTAGGGGCGGGCCCGGTGGCGCAAGTGGTTAAGTGCACGCGCTCCGTTGCAGCGTCCTGGGGTTCGCCAGTACAGATCCCCGGCATGCACCCACGCACTGCTTGGCAAGCCATGCTGTGGCAGCATCCCATATAAAGTGGAGAAAGATGGGTACGGATGTTAGCCCAGGGCCAGTCTTCCTCGGCAAAAAAAAAAAAGGAAAAGAGGAGGATTGGCAAATGTTAGCATAGGGCTGATCTCCTCCCAAAAAAAAAATGGCAATGGTTTTAAAATAAAATATCTGTGAGCACTATTTTACAAATCACAATTTATTAATTATTAGGTTTTACATTTGGTTTAAATTTGCCTATGAGCTCAATTAATTTACAGAAATAGAGATTATTTGAAAGATCTAGGGAGATGATGAGGAACTAACTAGGGCTATACAGAAAAAAGGTATTCTGTTATAGATATTCTGCTAAACTAAAACATTCAAATGTGTGTGAAGTGACCAGTTATTTCTTCACTTTCTTCAGTCATTCTTTCCTGTGTCATCCCACTTCGATTTTAAGTATGCACATACCCACACATACGTGTGATACAGCATGTGCCTAAATCTACATGTATATAGATTTCACTTGTCATCCATGTATTCATTTTCAAAAGTATAGTTCCTTACATAATTTGACCACAATAAGATTATCAAATGAAATTAGAAATGATGATTAAGAAATAGACACTCGGGGCCAGCCCCATAGCATAGTGGTTGGATTCAGCATGCTCTGCTTCGGCGGCCCAAGTTCGCAGGTTCGGATCCCAGGCGTGGACCTACACCACTCGTTGGTCATGCTGTGGCGGCGACCCAGATACAAAGTGGAGGAAGATTGACGCAGATATTAGCTCAGGGCTAATCTTCCTTAAGAAAAAAAAAGAAAAGAAATAGACATTCAATAGATAGTGAGTTATGAAACTATATGTCACTAATGCATGATTAGTATTGGGACTCAGAGCAAACCACTCCAAGATGTGCCACAGTGGCATTTTGTTTATTTGGAATTAATTTGAGAAAACAGCTGGTGCAAAAAAGCCATTCTGACCCTCCTCTCTGTCTCCCCTGAAAGCAGGAAATAAATATCCCATGTGAAAGGTACCCTCCCTGCACCAGAAGTTAGAGAGACATCCTTATTACCAGAGATGGGGAATTCAGGCCGAAGAAGGCTGTGCACACAAACTCTATTTAGATTCCTCCCTAATTAAGTACCCAAAGCCTAAGTTTCTTTGTCTTGTCAATTCCTCACAAATTTATTGTTTCTTTGTGTAAAAAGTAGAAAAGCTGCTTGTTTTGGTCATTTCTTTAGGTCCCGCTTCTGTGAGACCTCGGTACATATGAATTAAATTTGTTCTTTTCTCCTGTTAACCTATCTTGTGTCAATTTAATTATTAGACCAGCCATAAAAACTCAAGAGGAGGGCCGGCCCCGTGGCTTAGCGGTTAAGTGCGTGCTCTCCGCTGCTGGCGGCCCGGGTTCGGATCCCGGGTGCGCACCGAGGCACCACTCCTCCAGCCATGCTGAGGCCGTGTCCCACATACAGCAACTAGAAGGATGTGCAGCTATGACAGACAACTATGTACTGGGGCTTTGGGGGAAAAATAAATAAATAAAATCTTTAAAAAAAAAAAAAAAAAAACTCAAGAGGAGTAGGGGGGAAATTTCCCCCTCCCTGACATTAGAAGGGAATAAGATTCAGAGTCACCTGGAAATTAAAGTTGTACAACACAGCAATCGTGCAATAGGATTGGGGGTCATTTTGAAGATGAGAAAATTTGTTATAAGTTACAATTCACAGACATGTTGAGCATTTCTGCAAAGTTAGTTGAGCTGGCTTCAATGTTAAGAAATCCTCTTTAGAAGGTGTAAAACTTCACACAATCTTGATGTTGGTGTTCTCAGAGGTAGCTCTTAAGTTGTTACTGGTAGTGGTGATAATGTGTTAATGAGTAGGGAAACTTGAGAGAGAAAGTTAGGTTATGGGAAAAATAGTTACTGTTTTTTGCATCTCCACATTCGCGACTTGTGAAAGGTCATACATGTTATATAAATTTTTGTGCTTTTTTAATTTAATGCTCAAATCATAATCGTCAATCAGAACAGTTTATTACAAGAAAAATAATTAAGGATTTTGGATTTTTAAATTTAAGCCAATGCCATACCTAATTTAATTTGTATTGTTTTCTAAACCATCAACAGATCTTTCTAGTTAATTATTTCTTTACACGCTTTCCAATTTTCAAATCTTATATTCAAGTCTCACAGTCAACACCTACAGCAGCCAGTAAGCCTTACAGTCAATGCCCCACCTCCATCATTAAGTAACGATGAATTTTAGCAAAATTTACCCCAAGTGATTTCCTTGCCTCCATTTTCTAACTCTTGTAATATACCCAGATACTACATCTTCATTAATTTTATGACACTTTTTTTAATGCAGTGTTCTTGTTAAACCTTTCCAGTTACTTTCATTGCCAAAAGAATAAAGTCTTCTACAATTTTATATCGACCTATCATTCTCAGTCTAAAGTTACTCCAAAAGTTATTATAATCCTGAAACCCAATTGCTGTTTTCTTTTTTCTTTTGTGCCTTTATGCTATTCCTTCACTCCTAGGATAAGCCATCCCCCCATATCTGTTCATAAAGTTATAGAAATTTGACTTGGAGTGATCGAATATTATTTTTCTGTTTCTAGTTGAAATCTTTGGTATGTTTTGTCTTGTCTGAGTATTCTCACCTTCTACGGAGATCCCTCTAGATCCTTGTAAGCATCTTCATGTGAATCAGTACTTAGCAAAATAGTAAAATTTTTCATATAATAGCTGTCAATTACATATTTAGAGAGTGATTATCAAATAAATAAAGAGACAAAGAAGAAGCAACAGAAAAATAGTAATCAGGATCGTAAGGAAAACAAATAAGTCCTGCAAGTTGAAATAAAACAATTTTTTTCTTTTCCATATTCTGTTAGCATTGTTCTCTTGTATCTTTAAATGATGCTGTCTTTGATTTCTCTTAAGAGCCAGATTTTCTTCAGACTGCCCAAAGTTAAGGACATCTGTCTCAACTTCCACGCTCATGCTTTGAAGTGAGATGATTATTATGTGATATAAACTCTGGGCCTCACATGCAAACTTCCCTAAAAGCTGGAACTTTGTAGAACTTTGAAAATACAATGCATCGTTGGCCTGATTGTCTAATACCCAACAGATTACTTTTTCTAGGGCTTAGTTCCCACATTCTCTTTTGATGTTCCTGTGGAAGAGGTGAGTACTCGCAACACCAGCAGCCTAATTAGGAACATTCCTGTCACTAGGGGATATCTCAGACCTTCTTCACGCTCAATCATCATGTCCCGAAATAGACAGGGTGGGGTAATGCATCTTATAAATGCCAATTTATTTAGGTTCTAATCACAGATACTTCATCAACTGACAAAAGAAAAACCTCAGTAGGTACACCACTTCAAAATCTGGGACAACTTACATGTAATTTCAAGAATCAGCAGGGACACACAGCTGGAGAAAAATAAAAAGCTTTGCTGTAACTGAAAACCGCCTTGCAGTTTGTTTGTGATTAGAATGAAGTTCAGTTCCTTGAAATCTTGTTTAGCAATTAAATCTGTTTTACTTAGGCAATGAAATATTGTCTATTGTCCTGGAATGATCAAACTGGTACAGACATATCTTAGCATTGGATGTTAGATGAAAATGTGAACTTGAGAAAATGTAGCTGAATTGAACACCACAAGCAGAAGGTTGGCCTTTAAAGCGATGAGAGAAATAACTAGCTCAGTTAAATTATCCAACTAACTTGAAAATTCTAAATAAAATTGGATCGTCATATTAGCAAGCAAGTTAATAATGACAAAGCTGAGTATAATACCTAGAAATGAACCATCTCGAGGCCGTACAGTCTATACACACACTTCTTTTGTTCAAGCT